TGGACAGCCTAGATTAGACTAGAAAGTTTTGCTACTTAAAGACTGGTCCCTACAGCTAAAGCACCAGCATCATCTGTGAGCTTGAATAAATGCAGAGTTACTGCTCTTACCTTCTGAACCACCTGAAACAAAAACTACATTTCTACAGCTCATGGCATGTCATTAGGAAAAAAAACTACATTTCTACAGCTCATGGCATGTCATTAGGAAACCCTCTTTTAGGCAAGGATTAGCTCAACATTTCAGTGACAAGGTGGACACAAGTGTATCTAATCTATAGTGCACTTTAGATACAACATTGTAGCCCGGGTCACCCTTCCCCCACCTCAGAGTCTGATTTAACTGGTTGGCAGTTTGACAGGAGCTTGGCAAGCTTGAAAAGCTCTCTGGGGGATTCTAGCAGACCATCACTTTGACGACTCACCCAGCATAGCTTAGAACAATGATTCTCAAATTGGATGAGCAGCAGGATGACCATGAAGGCTTGTTAAAGCACAACTCTTGAGCTTCTCACTCAGTGGGGCTGAGCCGGTTTCTCGGAATCTTGCTTTCTGCTAAGTGTTGAGGTGCTGCTGGTCTTAAACCACACTTTGAGAACTACTGGTCGAGTCATTTTCAAAGCGAGCTCTCTAGAATCAGACTCACTTTGGCTGAGTCCCAGATCTGCCACCGACCTACCAGGAAAAATTACCTATGCCCCAAACCTCAGTTTCCAAAATGGCACCAAAAGTACTTATTCGTTGGGTTGAATACGAACTCAGATAATGCCAATGCGATACTGCGATCAGGCCCTGCTCTTAAGAAGCAAACAGGAAATGTGCATTATTATCATAACTGTAAGATTCACTCCTCCATTCAGTGGGTACAAACTAAGAACCAAGCACCATGCTGGCACCTGAAACTCAGCAAATAAAGAGGATGGTCAAGGGCCCCACCACACTGCCACCATGGAACTCACACTCGAGCTGATGGTGTAAAGCAGGCTGCGGCTGCTGCTCTGGTAGCGCTAATCCAAGAGCAGAGGCAGAAGGTCAGAGAGAAGTCATTTCCCCTGGCAGAATGGGAACGCTCACGCAGGAGGGGAGGCCCAGCTGTGCTGTGGTGGGGAGAGAGCACCACCATTAGGCAGGGCAGGAACTCACTCCTGCTGCAGTGCAGAGAAGCAGCAGCCTGGTACAGCAGAGCCCAGAGGTCAAAGGGGAAGGAGAGGCTGGGAGTCAGCACTGGGCACCTCTATTTTCTGGCCAGCCCACCCTCTATATTTGTTTTCTTATTTCGTTCTGCTTTAGTGCTCAGGACAGTTGCGATACAAGGATTCTACCTGCTCTTGCTGGCCTGGGAGGGAGAAGAAGGGGCAATAAGCCAAGAAATGCAGGTGGCCTCTGGGAGCTAGGAAAGTAAGAAAATGTAATTGTTCCTAGAGCTTCCAGAAAGGAGCAGGCCTGAAGCCACTTTTAGCCCAGGGAGACCTATGATGGACTTCCAGCTGATTACAGAATTGTGCGAGAAGAAATGTTATTTCAAGGCACGTATTTGGGGCAATACGTTGCTACGGCAATAATACATTCTTCTTGCAGGGCTGTATGGCCGATACCTGGCAATGGGAAAGGTGCTCTCTCACCTAGAATGGGATGACCATCCACATGCACTGGCTATCCTCCACACATGGGGGACTCTCCTCAGAAATGGTCGCCACTTCCCACCCTGCCTGGAGACCCATCATCAGACCCATCATCTCCAGGCTTAGCTGAACCCTGGCCTCTGGCAGAAGCCTCTGCAAATTCCTTACTCCCTCCCCCATCCCAGCTCCTTCTCCTCTGACCTCCCACAGCCCTTACTGCCTGAACCTCACAAATGGAACTTAATTACATAGCAGGCAGTGTCACCGGCTGCTTCTGCATGTGTATTTCGGTTCTGAAACTAGATTGAAACCTTGGTCTCAAACAGAACTGTGTTTTGTCCTTCTGTTATTGTTTTTAAGGACCTGTATTTTTATTTTATAATCCTGTTATTATTGCCTTTTGCCACAAAGGAGACGATATTTATAAGGTCTATATTTATAAGCAGATATCCTAAATCAGTTTCATTGCCTTGTGACAGGTGACAAACTCATTTTTCTATTTTCAGCAGAGCTTTCTATTTTGCAGGAGAAGTTACTAAGAGTTCTGAGGTCTAAAGCTAGGTTTCACATAGCAGGTTCCCAGATTGGGGGCTGCATTTTCAGTAACCTTGGTTCTTTATGACACCCTGAATACATCAGCCAGAGAGAAAAGGATGGTGGTGGAAATCCTAGTGATGCAAAGCTACTGGATGATCAAGCACATGCCCCTCTCATTCCAGCACTAAGCACGCAGTAGGTTCTCAACAAAGTCCCGTCGGTGAGTATATCATTATTATTCTCTACTCTCTTCTTTTAGCCTACCAGCATGAGTCTCAACAAAAACATGTAACCAGGCACAGCTCGTAGACCAAGAGAATGAGACAAACAGACAAAAGAGTTCTCCCCAGAGCATATCATTCAAGTCTCAAAATAAGATACATTTCTCATTTCAAGGTACATTTATTTTAGTGAGGTAGGATAAGGATTTTGTGAGAGAAACAAAAATGAATAAGCCGGCGTGTGGGAACAGAAATTAAAATAAGCAGCAACTTGCCACCTGCCAACACGGTTGTCCTCACGTCCCACTGCCTTATTTTTGGTTCATTCTGGTTTGTTTTCTTCCCCAGTGCTTGGAAATGTGACAGGCAGGTTAGAAAGAGAGGCAGGGGTAGTCACTGCACTGTTCTTTATGCTCATACCAGGTACCTGGTGCATGGTACAAACACTTTACTCATGTTCCCTAATTGAATCCCCTCGAAGCCTTTCTGATGGGAGCACTGTTATCTCTACTACACAGGTGAGGGGTGGAGGTTAAAACAGGGAAAATAGCCATGCTCAAAGGCACCCGATAGCACACATGGCTGAGCCAACCTGGGAAGGGAGGTGGTACAGCCCAGAATTTGGGTTGCACCCATTCGGGCCTACTGGCTGAGGACCTGTGGATGTTTCCAGTATCTCAGGGGAAACAGGCTGGATGCTCCAGTTGCTGAGGGACCTCGGAACTCCAGAGACACGATGCTAGCTCTACCTGTTTCTCTGGACCTAGTGGCAATTTTAGAAATGAGATGAGCAGGGAAGACAGGAACAGAGGAGAGTAAACATGAAGATGTGTGTCTGAAATAAGGTCCCTTCCTTTTTCTTCCCTGCCTGCCTAAAGCAAAGTCCTCTATGAGTAAGAAAAGATGGAGGTGTGCCAACACAAAGCAGCAACGTCAGCTCAGTCATAAAGAGTGGCGTAAGAATTAGAAAAACATCGGACCAAATCTGGGGTGAGTGTTCCTTTCGACCCCAGTTTAACAAGAGCATTTATCTCTCTGAGCCTCAGCTTCCTTATCTGTAAAAGGGGAAAATGATTATTCCCTATAGGTTCGCTCTGAAGATTAAGTGAGTTCAAGTATGTAAGGGGCTTATCAGAGTGCCCAGCTCAGAATAAATACTAGCTATTATTATTAACATACTAGCAAATGCTCTACATGACCCATGCAAAAAAAAAGTAAACAAATACTGTGCTGTCTAATCTGTTATCAAACATAAGCAATAAGAACTCAGCCATGGTGTGGGTCCCGTTCTGAGAAAAGTAATGGTAGGGGTCATCGTGTTGATTCGATTTTTTTCTCCCCACCATGCCAGTAATAGTACTGTCTTCCATCCTCAGTGGGGTTCAGAAAGTACGTACAGAAGTAGCAAACTTCTGAAGCATGCAAACCAGTTTCTTGAAGTTTCTCCATCCAAATCTTAGCCAGTAAAGGCAGTGCCCTCTTATTTTCCAAGAGAAGGGCAGCACTTCCTGAAATGTCCCATTTAATGAGATTATTCATTGGACTGTATAAGCCATACCTCCCGGGAATGTTCGTCTTATCTCTGGCAGCTCATCAACACAATCATTGTTTCACAATGTAATAACCCATGTACTAAATCAGACTAGGGAACCTTCTTGAAATATTATTATACTGAATTCTCTTCCATAACATCTAGACCAGGTTTGGATATCATCCAAAGGGCTTCATTACCAAAGACAAAAGTATTACATTATAGGTGGCTTCCCACCCCCCCAAAAGGAGAAAGGTTATTTTGTTGTTGTTGTTTCATGCTCCAAAAGGTTGTTAAACTAGTTTTAATAGCACTTACACTTCCATAAATTAATTATTAGGTTGATTTGTTTTTTCCCTATTTTCCCACTGCAATATCAGAGGGCAAGACGTTTGTCTATTTTATTCAGTGTTGCTTTCCTTATCACTTGGAATTAGTGCCTGACACAATTTTTCCACCAATTTGTCCAAATCCTGATGCAGAAAGTAACCTTCAGAGCAGAGACAGGAAGTGACATGCTGAGCAGACATAGGAAGTGACGTATGAACAATGTGAACAGTGCATTAGCAAAAGCTCTTCCTTTACACAGGCAGCAAACTGGTCTCCTTCGAAGTTCTTTAAGAAGCATCACTTCATTGTGCCCCACATAGGATCTCAAAACTATGAATAAAGCATGCAGGACTCACACTTCTTAAAACTAACAAGCAAGTAGATGCTAGATTTAGCGGACAGAACTCGGATATCTGAACTAGCTACTCAGAATGTTGGCCTTATCCCTTGGGCTTCTTTGTCCAGTTCTGACTCTGAATGAACGTGTCAGAACCATGAGCAGAAGTCTTGGCCATGACAATGATGACCAGTGGGCTTCAACAATGATAAAAACTGCACCACCTGCAGTTTTCAAACTGTACAAATCCTTCTGAGCAAATGCTCCCAGGAGTACCACCACCATCAACTTATAAAATCCCAATGGTTGTTCCCATTAATATAAAAGTATTCTGCCTGTGGATTCAACTCTCTGAGCCAGCCCAGGTTCTGTATTTCAACCACACCCAGGAACTAGTGAGCAGAAAGGAAGAGATTGACTTACCAAGCCAACTTCTGTTTAAGTACACAGACACAAACACTGGTGGGACTGTGAAGAAATCGACTACAGAGTTCACTTCCAGCCAGAACCACAGCTTATCATTGGCTGCAATAAACTGGGGGAAAGAAAAAAAGAAGAGAGGGGAAAAATGAGAAGCAGAGTGCTGACATGCAAACGACATGCTTTTTTTGCCCAATAGTGCATGTTGATTTTCATGAGGATCTGGGCATGCTATATTCTCATCACTACACCAATCACATGCCATTTTTGTCTTCAGGTTTGGATACAGACCCTCTCCTAGAGAGCGACTATCTGCCTGACTTATTAGTCTAGGAGAAGGAATTAGGCAGTGCATGTGTCTGTGAGGTTCACCAGCATCACTGGGGAGGTTGAGTGATCCCACCATATTAGACTCTCTGGTACAAATGTAACTGTAAATGGAGGGGGTGGCACACCCATACATCCCTGCACTCCTATTATGTGTGGCACCCTTAATAAACAGGATCCAGCATAAATACCTAAACCCCAAGTTCTGCTAATCTGCCCCCTTCAATTCTAGCCTAACAGCTGTTCTCTTAGGAGCCAGCTAAGTGAGCACTTAACAGTATTTTAAGAGTAGAAATCTTTTTCTTTTTCCTATTTTAGTAAATAGTGATGCCATTTTGAAGAAAGGAATGAGAAAACGGTGGCCAGTAGAGGTATAACAGTTACTCAATCCCCACTTCCCCTTGGAACAAAATTAGCTTGTAGTTCAGAAAATGCTGAGCTAAGGGAAAGGGCTCCCTTACACTGAAGATCAGAATATGGGTCTATTGTCTCCCAGGACAAACCTGGGTTTCATCCTGCCTGTGAGAGCTGACAACACCAAGGAATGGTCCCGGGGTTCCCATGCCCCCTCATGACACTGAGCCACGTGCTACAAACTTACCCGCAAGCCAAAGTAGAGAAGGAAGAACACGTTGAAAGCCATGTCGATCTGTAATGTGAAATCTTTGTAGAAATTCTGGCAGGATTCTATTGGGCTATTAGACAGGAAGAAGAAAAAGCAAGAGGTAAATGAAAAGCATCATCTGGTCTTCCACAACGCTGTGCAGAGTGGTGCTCAGGGTAGAGGGCAAAATGAATGTTCATAAAATAAAACATTTGGTCTTTCTACCCCCTGTGATAATCAAGCAAGCATTGCCAAGGGGTCTTTCCATTCAACCATTCAGTCTCTTGTTCTTTTATTTGCTTTTGTAATTATATATATATATATATATATATATATATATATATACACATACATATATACATACATATATATACATACATAGTACTTTTATCATCATTCAGCAGTTGAACTAAGAATCTAAAGAGGATCATGCAGACACCTTGAGTGAAGGACAAGCAGGAGAGACCACCAAATTCCTTATTTTTATATTAACCCTTAAAGAACTGACTTCTTTCTTTTAGAGGACACATACCAGTGCTGGAACAGTCCCTCACACTGTTGTGCATTGGAAGTGGAGCCCATTTTCAACTGAACACAGGGGCTATGACTTTTAATCAACCATCAGTTGATTAAAAAATAAAGGACTCAGGAGCATCTCCAGAAAGTTGTAGAGGAGAAATCCTGCTTGATGTTCTGGCTAGACTGAGTCTGGACTTACAGCATAGCATTCTGATCCTGGGAAAGAAGCATAGCCCAACCAGTCAAATTCAAGGGCATTAAATAGAAATGTTGAAGCTGTACTCTAAGGGTTAATTTTTTTTTTACATGCAAGTTAATTGCCCTTGTGTGTTAAGCAGCCAATGCGAACCCCCAACATACTCTACTTTGTTCAAGAGTAAGCAGTTCAAAGGGGTACTACTATACAAACTGGTACATGGCTTCCGTGTGCTTTCCCGCGTCAAACTGATCAGGGGATCAGTGTGTGAAAAGTCCCAAGGTTTGGACTGGGTGGGAAGCAGGAAACCCTCATAAGCATTTCAAAGCTGTGAATGAAAAGTCATAGTATACTGTTATCAGTAAGCAGATGGTAACACTCAGGCCAGGAACATAAAGAAGGTGAGAGAAGGGAAGAGGAGAGAGTAAAGGGAGAAGCAAAATTCTTTCCCCTATGGGAAGCAATGTGGACCTCGGGGCCAGGAGAAGGCTAGCTTGGGGATTGCAGGATGGTGGATTTCCACTATTGCCAATTTGGAAATCGCTGTACGCATACCAGTTAGTATAGTTGTACTTCTGGAAGGACAATGCTTGATTGTTCAACAGGCAGGAATCTGTGCAGTATAGGAATACAGGGCCCACCGAGAGGCTTGGCTGGTCAGTCTGTGGGACTCCCCCATCACTTTACATGCACTAGACTTAAGAATTCTTCATCTCTGTTATAAGTCAATCATGCCCATTGTCATCTCCCAAGTCACAAAAACATGGAAAAACCTCCAGACAGGCATTGAGAGTGATCTGCATTTTTATTTACAAACTAAGCGGACTGAACAAAAAACAAACACTGAAAAACAATTCTTTTATAAAGAAATGACAGTTGACAGGTTTTCGCTAAGCTGGGGAAGTGAGAAGAGAGCGTGGACTTGATGCAGTCCAATGCTGAAAGGAGACAGGAGCAAGAGATAAAACATCACAGCCTGGCACTGCTCTTTGCCTGCTCTCCTACATAGGTATTAAGTTAAATGAAAAAGGAAAATCCAGGCCTATAGTTCTTAAGTCCGTTTTATAATTCCTAAGCTATGACATCATTTTATTTTGTTTCAAGAACAAGACTCGCAAGGTCCACAGAGTTCTTAGCTATTCTAGTTGCAGTGAAAAAAAGTACATGAACTAGGCTGACAAGGAACCCACTAGAGTGCATGAGATAAAGAGGTGACGCATCTCTGTGCTGTGGAAGCTGCACAAGTCATGGCCACCACTGATAATGGCACACAACCAAACAGATGGTGTGTGTGCCTGCATGTGCAGGAGGTGATCTTTTGTTAAATATATTCTCTTGTACCAGCATAGTGACTTATCTGTATTTTATAAATTGTATTCATCAAGATTGATGTATGAACAAATGACTGATGTCTAAATGTTCATGGGAACAAAAAGATCAGTCCCAGGTTTATTGTGGAAAACCAACATCATCTTCCCAGTGACCAGACTGCCCCCATGATCACTACTGCCCCCATGATCACTATTGGTGGTATTGGGGGTACCATGAGTTCTCAGCCCCTATGAATTCTCTGTTCTCTATGGTGAATTTGGTATTAAACCTGAAACACTTCTAGGAGGGAAGATGATGAAATAAAAGAGATGTTAGCTCAATGCAAGTGAGGATAATTGGTTCAACATAAATGGAAGCAGATGTCCTAATGAGCATAAGGGATCTTAGCAGCAACATCTTCACACTGTTTCTTGCCTTCTTCATCATTTCTGCTGCTCCCTCCTAGACTACCTTATGCAAAGACAACAGTGAGAGGGTTGAAGGTGGAAGGCTTGGCACAATATAGCATAGCTCAAAAGCATCCCAATTTACAGAGAACAATGTTGAGACCACAGTAGACCTTTCTACTAGTCCTTCTTTCAAAAATTTAGAACAGACTTAATCATTGTTTCATCTCATTCCTTGAATCCTATACTTGCAGCTGAAATAATAAATGGAGTGGGGTATTCATGACACAAATTACGCTGATTATGCAGGCAGTTTCCCTCTGACTGAGCTCACTAACAGTGTGAGTACATGCCAGTATGAGGAGAGGGGGATGCAGAAAACTCTGGGACAAAAGACCCACCTGAGTGATACAGGTAGGACCAAAGTGATAAAGTCATAAGGGACACTGGTTTCCATTCCTTTTAGTTGCTTCCCGCGTGCCAGGAGAGCCACAGAGAAATACCCAGCCTAATTTTTTTCAAGTGGCCATGGAACTGTTGATTGGGATCCCCTCGGAGATAAATCTTCCCAGTGCATTTAGTCCATGAACTCACACAATCAAAGACCACAGAGTGGAGATTCTAAAGCCCCATCATTTCATTCCCCAAATAGCAACAACCCATGGAGAAATTCACTGATCTTATAAAAGAAGAAAATATGTGACTCAACAATGCAAGTGTTGGCCTTATCACCCAGGATGTATTTTCCTCCCAAAGAACTTTATCTTAATGATCAAATACTCATGGACAGATGGAGAATGAAATATAAACTCCTTTTCCTCCTTCTGTACAATAGGAGCATCCCTTGTCTATAGACACAGAAGTTTCAAGAGCTAGAGGAGAAAATTCTTTTTATAGATTACAAAGGAAATGAGTCTGGATTACCATTTAAACTCGGATTGTCATTCTGATGAGGCATTCCCACATCAGAATAGGATTTCTGTGGGTATAGCTTATCAATAGGAAAAAAAGGGGGTGGTATTTTAAGAAGTAAAATAATTCCAATTCTAGTTTTGATTCTGGTAGTAGAAAACTGACTTTCTCTAAATTGTTTGTGGTTACAAATGACTTCATAATGGTGAGTACAAGACACTTGGTGAACTGGTGGACTAGTCATTCAAAGGGGCCCAAAGTCCACGGATAGCATGATACTAAAACCTTAGGTGGCCTCCCTGGTGGCGCAGAGGGTTGGAGCTCTGCACTGCGAAACTAAATCAAGCCATGGTCACTTCAGTGCAGTTTGATCCCTGTTCCAGAGCTGACCCACATGGCGCAGCAGACCTCTCCTGTCTCGCCCACTGCTCCCCTCAGCAGTGTACCTTATCAGTCTCCCTGTTCTGCTCCCCACTCTGTCTCTGGTGAATCCTTTTGCCATCCCTGCACCTCTGGCCTGTACCCCATTTCTGTGTGCATAAGTAAAATTTTAAAAATCTTTAAAAACCTTAGGCAACTTAGACTTTTGGCCAACACCCTCTGATTGGAGTTCCTGCCACATAATCTTAATTAAAGGTTACTTCTCTGTGGGCTAAATGGTCAGTGAGGAATAGATACTGTCATTCAAACTTCTATTTCCTCTTGACTAGCAAGAAAGCATATCCTCAGTATTTGGATGTCTCTATAGAAACATCTCCCTCAAAGTGAAAAATATATCTTTGTCTGCATCTGTTTAACAATATAATATCCGGAGATTCTTGAGCAGAAAGATCCAAGATCCCTTCAACTGCCCTAAGGACTTGTCTTCCTAGTGCCTGAGACAAACAGTGACTACTCAGGTTTTCTTTTGAAAAGGAGGACAAAAATCCATTGGATATCTACATCTCCAACAGGGGAACAATTATTCTTTCTCCTCCACCTCTAATCTTTTCTGGATTACTTGGAAGTCTGTTTCCTACATTCCTGAGTCTGACTACCCAAACCAATGAAGTTATTTCTGCAGGAAATAGGATCCCAAAATTTTTCAAACACATTAAGGGTTTGTAAAAACATGGAGGCACCTCGGCTCCCAGAGTTTCTGTTCTACCATTTCCCAGACAGTGATGCTCACTGGGGTACGACATTTCAAGAACCAGTGCTCCAGAAGAACTTTCTTCCAACTCCATGCTAATGACAGGTGTTGCTGCTCAAGAATCTCCCCATTCAGACCTGAACAGAGAGGATTAAGTGTTTGAGCCCGCCTCCAGAAAGCCAGCTGCATACCACTTAACTAATTGCTGAGATCAAGGGGTTGAATAGATATTTTCAGTTTCAGATGTGAACAAGGCAGGAAAAATTAAAAGATACAGGGAAGTAATTGCAATGCCACTATGCAAGCTTCACCAATGACATTCCAATTAACAATCAGAGAATGCCCAAGGAGCACAATTTTAGTTAAAGAATAAAAGGAGAAATGAGGTAGTATGGATAGGGAGAGGTTATGGAGATTATTGCTTACAAGAGGTAAAAAAAAATGTGAAGCATTTTAGGAAAAACAACAAATATCCAAGGAGACTCTAATAAATAACCTGGTGAGAGGGAAGGGCCTAGCTCAGGAACAAAACATCATGTTGTAAAATCATTTCCAACATTTAAATTCTCCTCACTCTTGTGGCCAGTCCCTTTTATAAATTGGATGGAGCCTTC